CCGCGGCGCCGGACCACTACTGCCCACAACTTTACGCCACTTCATGATGGAGGCAGACATTGTGTGCGACACTACACGACTGGCCGCACCTAAATGCGATGGCGCCACCCGTCACCTCCACTGCCACCACAGGCACTGGCATTACAGGCACTGGCATTACAGGCACTGGCACTGGCACTCCCATTGGTGAGCAGGCCATGGGGCTAGAGGTTAGTACGTCCGCCAATTGGTGCGGCTTTGTTTTTGTTGTTGACGTACCGGTGCGATGAGTGATTTAGTTTAATACCGGCGCTAGTTGAACACGTGTGTGTTTAGTATTTTTTAGTGATTTGTTTGTGGTTTGCTTGATGATTACGATATGACTGGTGTTTGAGTTGTATTTAAATGTGTTGTTCCCTCAATCGCTGCCTATGCTGTACAGTAAGTATGTGCGTTAAAGGGAACGGTAGGTATTTGCCGCACTTTTCCGATTCTGGTGCAGAATATTCATGAATTGTATGTAACATTTGCTTCAAATATAACGTTGCGCTCAGTGTTTGCATTGAGACTCCGAAAAACTCAATTAAATAAAACAATATTTTTAATTCAATAAACATTAAAAACATGATTAGAAGTTTGTAATCAACTAAAACCATTGATTCAATCATAACAGTGATTGCTGTTTAGGTACAGTATATTTAACTTAAGGTATCAATTAAATATCAATTAAAGTCACATATACTCAATGAGTTCAGTATAGAATATAAATAATATAACAATTATTGGGTATTTCTCGTACATAATCGACACATAATCAGCCACTTTAGCAATTGGTTAACCATTGATTCAGTTTCAAAAAATAAATGTTTAATATATATAAATATATTGTCGTAAAATAAATAAAACAATTCATTCATTCATTTCCTATCGAAATAATACCGATTCCGGGTCTAAGTCTTCGAATTCCTTAAGATGTAATAAAATGTCTTTTTTGGTGATAATCCCTAATAAACGCCTAAAACGGAAACAAATTCAATTCAATTCACTGGAAATGCCCACAAATATGCCACAAATCCTTACCCATTATGAGTGACCAGCACTTGTCTCAGACCTAACTTCCGGAACATATCGATCACTGTCTCCATCGGCGTCTGATCTGTGATAGT